GCTCTTATCTCCATGCATCATAAACATTTCTCCATATGCAGCTCAAAGGAATAGAATAATAAATCAAAAACCAATATAGTGGCACCTCCTTATTCTATATAGTGACTGTGGAAAAAAAAAACAAAAAAAAAACAAATATACTGGTCAACTTTAGCTGTGCAGCTGCACAAATTAGGTGTGAACACACTAAAAAAAACCAAGAGAAATATACAAGAAAACAACACCACACTAGGCTATGCATCCTTTAAGAGGATGCTGGATCATACCAATCTCCCAAAATTTTCTTCACCACTTGTGTCCATTAAAAAAAGTGCACACTCACCAGAAGATTTTGACCGCTTGTTACAGGTTGTTCAAACTACGCTAGATTCCCCATGGGTGTTCTTCCATGAGGTGAGTCTCCAAACTCTCCTTAATTCGGTTGTGTCTTTCAGATGCACTTAGTAATAAGGCAGCAAACATCCATTTAAAAGCATTTAAGTGTAGTGTTTATTAAAGATGGGTATTTGAAGTAAAAAATATAAGTAGCACTCTCTAGTGTGGTGCTAGAATAGTGTAGTGTATTATAGGCAAAACCATTGTGTGTGACTCATGGTAGTTGTGTGAGTCATGTGATTAAGGTTTGGTTTATTGCAGGTCAGCTGGATGGCTCAGCAGGTTGTGGCTCTATCGCCTCCTCCTGACTTTGGAGGACCATAGAACCTTCTAGAAGTCGGTAAGCTGGAAGGGGTGGAGGCCTAATCTGCATATTCATGATGGGGTCTGGCCAATCCCAGGTTTGGAGGCCCTGGTAGAGGTGGTGGACTGGCCTATAATATGGCAGAGTCAGGCTGACAGAGGAGTCATGTGGAAGGTGGAATGCTGAGGAGACAGCCTGTGCCTTGGAGGTGTCCCCTAGGTCTGGGGGGCGGCATTCAGGCTGGGCTCAGGCTGGCTCAGGAAGATACATTCAGCAGAGAGGCATGAATGGGATCAAGGCCTGAAGCAGCAAGGAGCAAAGAAGACAGTGTGAGTACAGCAGCACCCTCTGGGATCTACAAGGGGAAAGACTGCCACACGTAGCAAGCTTTCTAAGGACAGCACTGGGATCAATCCTTAATCCTTGTCCCAGGTGTTCTTTCAAGAAGCCAGGAGGGCTGGTAGTGATTGCAGGCTGTGGAGCTGGGAGCAGCTATATAGGGGGAGAGAAGATGTCTGCATGTAGCTACAAGGAGCAAAGTAATTTTTGAGGGGCTGCTAGTTCCTCGCCCGTAAGGGGCACCTTCTACTGATCTGCAAAGACTGATGGCTTTCAAAAAAAGAACAGTCCAGGATCTGCATTTGTACATAGGAGAGAAGCGCCCCCTGTCCATTATATCAAGCCAAACTGGGCATCCCATAATCCCTATTTCCCCATCCAAGTTGATTTCCCCTAATAAAATAACAAAACCAAGCTCATGGACTGATCATTGTCTCTAGATGCAAGCTGGTGTGAGAAATACATGTTGCCTGACTGTGGGGATACCCACAACACAGCGGCCCCTTATGAGGGTAGCTCTACATATATAAGGCTTCAGATACCTACCCAAGATGGAAAACATTTAGGTACAATAATTTGTTGCCATTTCATGAGTGCGTGCAGTTTTGAATCTTGACATGTTTGGTATCTGTTTGCTTGGCATAGCAACTTTTATATTTACCAAAAAATCAGGTATTGTGTTGTGTCTGTGTGCACTAAAATTTATAGGTTTTTTAAAAAATTTTCCTAAAAATTTGGTTTTGATAAATGACTGTTCAAATATCTTGTGTCAGGGTCTCTTTCAGAGAATATACAGTATGTTTTAGAAGTTCTGTGTAATTTATTACCAAAAAATGCTGAGTTTAATGTTTGCAAAACATTAAAAAAATTGTCTAGGGCAGCAAGTGGTTAAAGCCCAACTTGGGCAATTATTATTATATATTTAAGTATGCAGTTTGATTTACATTTTGGAATAATAGCAGGTACACAATTGTCCATTAAAAATAAACACCTCTGAATAGAAAAACATATAAAATTCTTCTAACAGACAGCAGGAAATTATTTTAATAGAGACTTCCTAAGAGCTAGGTGTAGAGCAAACAGACTCCTGGCTGTGGAAAGCAAACAGGAGTGACAGACCATAACTAGGACTGGGGGACACCCAAATATAAACTTTATCTTTATTAGGCATCAGGTGACAACAGGAACAACTGTACTGATATCAGTTGACATTGACATTATTTGCTTGCTAAAGAAAATTATACAGATGCTAATTATTTATTTATTTTTAGCTTATGGTTAGAATAGGGAAATGACAGACCCCACCCAGTCAAGATTTTTTTGTGTGTCTCTGGGACAGATAGTAAAGTGAAATCCCCCTTAATGCCATGCAGACAACAAAAACATAACTTGACAAAGGTTAATCCTTTCCTACTCCATTCAAAACAAGAAACAAAAAATCATTCTATGCAGACACAAATGGCTCTGGCAATAATACATCATTAAAGTGGGACTAAACTGTATCTGAGCACCTCAAACTGAAACTGATATTTAATTCATTTTTAATATTGAAAGCAAGCTCACCCCCCCCCCCTTTTTTTTTGTTTTTTGAGAAATCACCTTGAAAAACACTCCCTAGCATTTCTAGCTGTGGCCATCTTTAGTAAGAGCAAATGATTGGTGTAGCATTTACTTCTGGAACCCATCTGCCCTTTACTCAGACTAGCAGACAGGAGAGTGTATGAATCGTTAGCTATGGGGGCACTGCTTCATGCTCGTTCCCGAGCCCCTCTCTATGCATCCATAAAACACATAGAGCCACAGCTCGACCCCGTCGCTTCTCTTTCCTCATTTACTCACTGGCCAGCAGTGGGTTCCAATGATGGAGGGAACCAATGAGACGAGAGAGACCCAGGACAGCCAATGTTTCTGTGCACATTGCTGGTTCGAGAGGGGGCTCAGGTAAGTAGTGGAGGGGGTTTTGGGGGGAGCAGCACACAGAAGGTTATTTACCTTCATGCATAATGCATGAAGGTAAAAAAACCTTCAGTATTTACAACAGCTTTAACTCTCTCTTCTTCTAGGTCAGCTTTTCAGCCAAGAACAGGGAGTGTTTTAAAACTATGTAATACCTCCCCCTCTTTTCCTTAACATGGAGCATTGTTTTGTAGTCCATAGAGATAGCAGGGAACAATGCTAATTGATAACTGTCCAGAGGCAAGAGTACAGGAAGAAATAACTTATATCAACTTATACCAGCGCAAAACCCACAAAACAATAAATTACATCACCCAACCCATAAATGATAATTACTAAATATCACAAACTTAAAATTCACTGTGACACAAAAATATATAAAAAAATATTAAAATAATTTAAAAATATTAAGTCCAGTGACAAAATCCAAAAAAAAAACAAAATTATATTTTCATTGGATTCTTCCGTGCCAGTGATACCTCCACCATCCACCAGTGCAAAAACCAACATTAACTGCACTCACCAGATAATGGTGAGTCAAACGCCTTTCAGGGATATTAAGGGCTCCTGGACCCCCTTTACTTTGTATATGACCTCCAAATCTTGCCTCCTCTAGGATATGGACACCTCCTCTGGTTACTCCTCTCACCGAATCCCCCAGAGAAAATCAGGAAGAAGAAAAAACCATAGTGTGATACCGTAATGATTTCTAATCTTAAAAGAATTTTTCCAGACCACTCACATTTTAGCAGATATTAACCCGCATTTTATTGAAGCAAAACGATCTTTCTTTCATAAAAACAATCTTTCTTTCGTATAAAGCGATTTCTGTATAGAGACCCCACAGCCAGCTATACAGCAGGATAACAGACCTCAGATGCAGACTCATCCACTATGCAAAGATGGCCCCTTGGAACGCACCGCTCGGCGTGCGTTCCACTCACCGGAAATGATGTCAGACGCCGGGACAGGCAGCCGGAAATATGTCAACGCGTTTCGCCCCACCCACAGGGCGTTCTCAAGACCTTGGAGCCCTTAATATCCCTAAAAGGCGTTTGATTCACCATTATCTGGTGTGTGCGGTTAATGTTGGTTTTTGCACTGGTGGATGGTGGAGGTATCACTGGCACAAAAGATATAATTTATTTTTTCACGGGACTGTTTTTTTGGATTTTGTCACTGGACTTAATATTTTTAAATTATTTTAATATTTTTTTTATATATTTTTGTGTCACAGTGAATTTTAAGTTTGTGATATTTAGTAATTATCATTTATGGGTTGGGTGATGTAATTTATTGTTTTGTGGGTTTTGCGCTGGTATAAGTTGATATAAGTTTTTTGGTTTTGCACCTGGGTACAGCAGCATCTCACAGAGAATAGTGTGTGGAATAATAGAATCCTGGGCGCTGAGGTTTTTTTCTCTTTTTACAAAACAGGAAGAAATAAGCTCACAAGATTTCTGGATGAATGGCCTATTTTTTTCACTTGTTTAACAGATGTAATAAAACCCTTTCTATTGGTTATTTAACAGATCAAAAGGGAGTAAATAAGAGATATTTATTGTTACCGTTTACATTCACTATATAATGTGCAAATAGGACACTCAGCCGCATATGAATTGTTCCTTCACTGGCTTCATAATGGAGGTATCTCCTGCTCATGAAGACACTGAAGAATGCAAGTCCCCATTGAGAGTGATGCCTAACTTATCCAGTGAGTAGGTCACTTCTCTGCTGTGTCTTCTATAGCGGTCTTGCTGCTTATGGGTACCTCACTGCTATGACTTATTGACTTGTCATTGTAAATTGCAGCCTGAGCTATTGAACTCTGTTGACATATATATAGGTATTGCATACATGTCCCAAGTGGACCCTTCTAATAATCACAATGGTATACAAACATGTAATTATGAAGTGAGAATGTGAGCTAGAATACTTTTATATTTTCAGATTCCCTACAAAACTTCAAAACCCCCAACTTCTCTGCAGATAAGTTTTTCATGTATGGCCTAATTCTATTTTACAGGCTACAGAATGAGACCAAAACTCATCTCATCCTTGACGCAGTGTCAAAAACACTCAGGCTCTATCCAGTGGATTTCCAGGGAGCAAGGATACTAGATGGCATGGAAGAAGGGTCATTTGGCTGGATCACTGTGAACTACCTTCTGGGTACTTTCATACAGGTCAGTAAAGAAATCTTCAATTCCTTCCATCTTTGTTCATGCCTAGATGTGGGCTCAGAGGCTATCACATTAAGTGACATTAAATGATGTAGCACCCTCCTAGTTACGTTGCTAGGAACTTAGGCAAATTTAGCTTTTTTGCTCCTCTGTAATTGATGGAGCACTTGTTGATTGGCTGCTTTGGGCTGTACGGTGTTTCAGAGACTGCAGGTTTGATTGTTTTCCGTTGTGGTAGGGAGGATTCTAGAATCCTAGTTGGCTGTATTCTCAAATAAGTAGTCTAAATATTTATGGGACTGTAGCCAATTCCTGGGGAGGTGTGCCTAGTAGGTGGCTGTAGAGAGCATAAATAGTCTGAGGCCTGCTGCAGCCTTGTTGTAAGCCCTGCGTCTAGTCTGCAGGAGGAGTTCCCAGCCTGAGGGGCTCTGCCCCTCTGGGCAGAATGCTGGAGTTTGCTGCATATTCATTGAGGTCCCAACTGTGGCATAGATGGGGGGGGGGGGGGGCTATTTCTAAAACTACTGGAGCTAATAAAGGGATTTTACCTGAGGACCTGGTCTGGAGAGTTCACTGAAGAGTGCCCGGTGGAAGCTGAAATGGGTTTAGCTGTCCTGTGGCATTGTGAACATCACCTCTACCTAGTGGATATCTATCTAGTGGATACTGGAAGGAGGCATCCAGTGATTCTAAATACTTGCGAGTACTGACCAGAGTTTAGGGTCCTAGTGATTGTGTGATGTTTTTAACTCTTGGTGAAGGTGCCAGTGGTCACTCTAGCTAAAACAGTCCTTACAAGATCTCAATTCTCTCCATTTTCTTTGCTCTTGGCATAAGCACTGTTCAGAGAAACTTAGCAGAGGGAAGTGTCCTCCTGTTACTATTCAGTGTTTCTGCAGTATCCCATACCACCCTGTGCCCCTCCAAGTTTTTTCAGCAATAAATACTTAAGATATCCCCTAGAACAGTGGTCTTCAAACTGCTGCCCTTTGCTTGCTTTCATCTGTCCCTTTTGGTCACTGCTTCATCCACTGATACCAACAATGGGGCATAATTCCCTTCAGTGACACCAATAAAGGGGCCCAATTCCTCACAATCACACAAATTATGGGGTACAATTTCTCCCACTGACACCAAAGAAGGAGCAATGTTTATTTCCACTGACGTCGGGATCTTTTCTTCTACCAATGGCCACAGTCGGGTTCCCCTAAAGCAGTGGTTCTCAACCTTTCTAATGCCGCGACCCCTTAATACAGTTCCTCATGTTGTGGTGACCCCCAACCATAAAATTATTTTCGTTGCTACTTCATAACTGTAATTTTGCAGTGGGAGGACTAGCGCCCCATCACTGATGTCAGTGGGATGAATAGCGCCCCATCACTGATGTCAGTGGGATGAATAGTGTCCCATCGTTGGTATCAGTGGGAGGAATAGTGTCCCATCATTGGTGTCAGTGGGAGGAATAGTGCCCCATCATTGGTGTCAGTGGGAGGAATAGTGCCCCATCATTGGTGTCAGTGGGAGGAATAGTGCTCCATCATTGGTGTCAGTGGGAGGAATAGTGCCCAATCATTGGCGTCAGTGGGAGAAATAGTGTCCAATCATTGGCGTCAGTGGGAGGAATAGTGCCTCATCATTGGCGTCAGTGGGAGGAATAGTGCCCCATCATTGGCGTCAGTGGGAGGAATAGTGTCCCATCATTGGTGTCAGTGGGAGGAATAGTGTCCCATCATTGGTGTCAGTGGGAGGAATAATAGTGCCCCATCATTAGTATCAGTGGGAGGAATAGTGCCCCATCATTGGTGTCAGTGGGAGGAATAGTGCCCCATCATTGATATGAGTGGGAGGAATAGTGCCCCATCATTGGTATGAGTGGGAGGAATAGTGCCCCATCATTAGTATGAGTGGGAGGAATAGTGCCCCATCATTGGTGTCAGTGGGAGGAATAGTGCCCCATCCTTGGTGTCAGTGGGGGGAGGAATAGTGCCCCATCGTTGGTGTCAGTGAGGGGAGGAATACTGTCTCATCGTTGGTGTCAGTGGGGGGAGGAATAGTGCCCCATCGTTGGTGTCAGTGAGGGGAGGAATAGTGCCCCATCGTTGGTGTCAGTGAGGGGAGGAATAGTGCCCCATCGTTGGTGTCAGTGAGGGGAGGAATAGTGCCCCATCGTTGGTGTCAGTGAGGGGAGGAATAGTGCCCCATCGTTGGTGTCAGTGGGGGGAGGAATAGTGCCCCATCGTTGGTATTAGTGACACAAATGATGGGGCACTATCCCTTCCACTGACACCAATGATACTTACCTTGCTGACTCCTGCTCCTGCCTGGGCTCGCTCTCTCCCTCTCCCATCTACATCCTGCATACCTGGCTGCAGCAGCAAAATTTGCACTTACCTGTCAGCTGTCTTCCTTTTCTGGCCTCTCTCTTCACTCGTTCCTGCAGCTCCCTCGATCTTCTTCGATCTCCGCTCGCTGCCGCTCGGCTCCTCCTCTCCAAGCTCCACCTTCTCGCCGGTGATTGGCCGCCTGTGTGCCTCTCCTGAGCTACAGTTCCGGTGGCCAATCAGCGGCGAGGAGGCGGTGACAGGGGCAGCATATCATCCCGCCCACACATCGCCGGAGACAGCAGCGGTGTCTCGGTTCCTAAGACCATCGGAAATATGTGTTTTCCGATGGTCTTAGGCGACCCCTGGGAAATGGTCGTTCGACCCCCAAAGGGGTCGCGACCCCCAGGTTGAGAACCGCTGCCCTAAAGTCTGAAGGACAGCAACCTTTGTTTAGAAAGTTTGGAAACCCTTGCCCCAGACTTTTTGAGCTGGAGTGAATGGACTGTTGTGTGGCTGCCTCTGTACTAATTTGGGACCAGTTAAATTACAGCAGCTCCTACTGGGGTAGCACTACAATATTTTTTTTCTCCAAAAATAATCCATACACATCCACTACTTAATGGCCCTAGTATCTAATTTTCATGAAGTTATTACTTACTGTGTTTTTTTTGTGCCTCCTTTTAAGATCTTCAGTGAGCTCCCAAACTTCTCCTTGCCCAATTGTTTGGCATGAGCAGTGCTTGTTAGTGCAGCGGTCATGTGCACTGGTCTACACACAGTCCATAGTTTATAGTCCCTAGTCATTTCATGAGTAAGCAAGAGGGTGGCTATGTTCCTAACTACAGTGGGACCATGGAGAATGAATGTAGCTACTCTCAGAAGTCGGTTTATATTAGAAAATCAATACTTTCAAAGCACTCATGTAGAGCTTGACATCTGCTGTATGAAAATGGTAATATGGAATATTAATATGCAGTGTTTCATGTTTACATAATTCAGTAAACAAAACCTTTTTTTTTATTCCAAAACCTAATAAAATATTACAAAAAAAAAAAAATTTTTAAGGGAAACTTTAGAATATTTTCAATAATGCATAATGTATTATGGGTTACTAATAAAACGTTAGTTAAAACTTATTTTTGGTGTCTTTAACATATTTTAATGAAGGTATTTTATAAATTTTCATTAATGAACCTTTGTATTTGTTGTTCTTTACTTTTTTGCCCATGTATTCCTTTGGATCCAGCATTCATACATAAACAGCTGGATACATCCCCAGCAAGCCATGTTTGGAGCCATGGACCTCGGAGGAGCCTCTACCCAAATGACTTTTCAACCCTCTGGCGACATAGAAGACAATAGCACGAAGATGTTTTTCAGACTCTATGGTTTTGATTACAGTATCTACACACACAGCTACCTCTGTTATGGCCAGGACCAGGCAATGAAGATATTTCTTGCGTACCTCATAGAGGTGGGAAATGCATATATCATGTAAAATATGCCCAATTTTCTAAAATCATAGTATGAATATATCATTTTTGCTAGATCAACATTCTGTTGATCTAAGATTATTTAGTTGTCAGTGATGCCAACCATGGAGGAGACTTTAAGGCTTTGTTAGCAGGTGTTAGACAGGCATTTGGGAAGCATTTTTAATGCTCCTCAAACGCCTATCAAAATTCTACACATGGCAGCACACAGTGCTGTTCACACTGTAGCGTTAGCGTTGCAGCAAAATTGATGCCTCATGTCGAGTCAGGAGGAGCTAAAGTCTCCCATTCAAGTCTATGGTGATGCTCCTCAAACACCTGGCAGGTGTTTGCGGGGCATTTGCAAGGTTTTTGTGGAGCGTTAATGCCATTAACTTCATTATAGGCATTTGTGGTGTGGTTTTAACGCTTGGAAAATGCCTATCAAACGCCTCAAAAACGCACATAGGGTGCTTGGGGAGTTTTTGAAGAGTGTTAAAAATGCTTCCCAAACGCCTGCCAAACGCTATAAAGGCATTTGGCAAGAGTTAGAAATTAGTCAAGTGTGAACGAGCCCTAAAGGTGGGAGGGGGTATACTAAGCTTGACCTTTTACAAGAAAAGTCAAGAATTGCAGTTAAGAGTATGTAAACTGAAAAACAAAAATATAATATATTGCAGCTTACCAGTCTTTCAGTGTGATGGCTGGATTATTATTCATTTTTCCAGCATTTTATAAATTTTCATTCGATGATCCTGCTAATAACTAACTTCCTGTTCTAGGATGACAATGCGCACTTGCTATACTGTATCTATGGAGGAGCAGCGTTGTCACCCTAGGCTGTTCTGCTAATTTGTACTACAAAGACCTCCCCCTGTCCCAGGGGTGGACTGACAACTCATGGGGCCCCCGGGCAATAGGGGATCATGGGGCCCCTGTGTCCTTGCCCAAGCTCAAAAAAAGCCTATGAAATAGGTACCAGGGGCATCCCATGTGGTCCCCTACTGACCCCGGGCCCTCGGGCAGTGCCCGAGTTTCCAAATGGTCAGTCCGCCCCTGCCCTGTCCTCATATATAATACATAAATAGGGAAGGTCTTTCTGTAGTCTACCAAAGTTGCCTAGGAGGACTGCTAACATTGTTTGATATTTCTGTTTAGTGCACAGAAAGTTAAAAGGTTGCTGCATTTCTGATGGAATCAATGGGTATTTTTCTGTACTTGCTAAAATATACTTACCCTAAAAAAAAGAAATGAATGCAGTGACCACATAAGAGCTGGTAAGCTGCAATATATTACAATCTTGTTTTTTTTAGATTTAGATATACTTTGAATTTCAATTGGATGCTCTGATTTTTAATTTACAGATTTTGCTCATAGTAACATCTTGCATTTTTTTATATCATGTGGTTAGTTTGAGTTGTTGAGTCGCATCCAGGGGCGGACTGATCATTTGGAAACTCGGGCACCGCCCGAGGGCCCGGGGTCAGTAGGGGGCCCCATGAGATGCCCCTGGTACCTTTTTCATAGGCTTTTTTGAGTTTGGGCAAGGACACAGGGGCCCCATGATCCCCTATTGCCCAGGGGCCCCATGAGTTGTCAGTCCGCCCCTGGTTGCATCTATCCTCCTTTGTCACATAGTTAACTGGTCATGAGCTTGGAAAGGAGACACAATTGGCTGATAAATATCATGGATTAGGTTTTATATTAGCAGTGTTTAAGGAATTCTGTTAGATACCCTGTGCCATGATCATGCAAGGCAAAACAACTCAGATGCACATGTTCTCCTCTCGAGGCCTCTCTACAACTCTCGTGACTCCAAGGCTAGATCCCTAGGTACTGTTTGCCATGAGAGCGTTCCCAGTATGCGGGGAACCAGTCACTAGCAAAAGGGTCAAGCAACAAACCCTTTCACTATCAGAGTTTGTCTCCCATGTCATATCACCAGCTTCCTGGCTGGTTGGCTGCACAAGGACTAGATACAAATATGGTAGTCAATAGCAACAGCTATATAGCCTTCTTAGGACAGCACCTCTGCTCATTAGACCTCTGTGCTGTATCTCCTCTAACTTTTGTCCCCTTGAATAAGCACTGTTCTTTGATACACAATGCATGCACCCCTTTGGTAACTTCAAACAGAACAACAAAGTTTGACTAAAGTAGTCAACAGTAACACAGAAGCAGTTCTTTAAGTCATCTCCAGCACACATTCCTGACAACGTTCCTCAAGTGCTCCATGAAGTAGATCTATTTTTTTAGGGAGAGAAGTCCATTAAAAGTCCTTTGCCAGGCAAAAGTCCATTATTGGCAGGAAAGCCATAATTTGATAGCATAAATCCATATAGTCCATAATCTGGTAACATAAATTCATGTAATTCCCAACCTCTTTGGGGGCCTGGACAGGCCTCCCACAGAGGATGCTGAGTGGCAAAGTGATGGCTACATTGTGACCCCACCGAACCCCTTTGAAGCTCCAGGAGCCCCATATTTATATGGTGCAACCAGGAGGGGTAGTATTCCCCTAAAAATTGTGGGAAAACCTGTCCAGCCATATAAACCCTTGCCCTCCAGGTCCCACCACCTCAGCATAACCATGACAATCAACAAAATACCCAACTTGTTGTTGTTGTAATATACCAACAGGAACATATACTCAAAGTAAAAAAACAGAACATTTAACACAAATACACTTTCTTTAGAGTCACCTGCTTACAACAGAGTGAGTTTAGTGAAGGGGGGGGTCCTTTTCTGGAGACCTGTACTGGGAAGGAATAGAGGGGTGGCTTGGTGATGTCTTTGCACTGAGGGGTCTGTGCTGAGGAGGGGTAGCTACCCTGGGGAGACTGTATTGGGGGCAGGGGTGGACTGACAACTCATGGGGCCCCCGGGCAATAGGGGATGATGGGGCCCCTGTGTCCTTGCTCACACTCAAAGTACACCCAAAAAAGCCTATAAAAGGTACCAGGGGCATTTCATGGGGCCCCCTACTGACCCCGGGCCCTCGGGCAGTGCCCGAGTGCTCGAATGGTCAGTCCTCTGATTGGGAGGTGATTGTCCTGAGGGGTCTTGTACTGAGGAGGGGAGTTCTGAACTGGGGGGAGGTGTCTGTACCAGGTTATGACTGTCCTGATGGTCTGTACTGAGGGGTCTGTACTGGTGTGCTGTGGGGCATCTGTCTTTACTGAGGGGTCTGCACTAGGGAGAGGTATCTGTGCTAGGGTCTGTGTGTGTGTGTGTCTGTGTGTGTGTGTGTGTGTGTGTGGGGGGGGGGGGGGGGTCGGTCTATACTGAGGGGAGGGGTCAGCACTGGGGAGGGGTATCTGTTCTAAAGGGTGAGGGAGGGTCAATCTGTGCCAAGGGGTCTATGTTGGGTGAAGTGGGATGGGGGGAGAATTTAGTGATGTTGGGGGAGATCTGTATTGTAAGGGTTGTGGATTTGTGGGGGGGGGGACTGTGGAATATGTGTGCTGTGTATAATGGAAGTAGGCTCAGGTTTTGTTTACTATGCCCTTAAGTCCCTCCCACCATTGACGCAAAGCGGCCACACCCACAAATCTGTACTTAGTGTACACTTTATTACTTGGGAACATTTGGGGAGGGGATGTTTCCAGAATTACCGGCCCTAAGTTTCATATCCTGGGTACACCACAGGATGGTGGACATGCAATTAAACCAAACCTGTTACTTTGCCCTGCCTGAATGTAGAATCGATTTGCTTTAAAAAGCAGTATACACAAAGTAATCTAATAAAAGCTGAAATGGTGGATTTTTTTGTATTCTTTAGAACACGACCAGTGGGAATGTCAAAAATCCTTGCTACCCAAATGGATACAAGGCCATCGTCACCCTTTCCTCTGTGTACAATAGCCCTTGTGTGTCAACATTTCCAGGTGACATAGGAGCCAACATTACCGTGGAGGGTACTGGAGATCCTTCTGAGTGCCAGATGGCCATCAAGAACATTTTCAACTTTTCTGAATGTTCAAATAAATCGTGCTCTTTTAATGGCATCTACCAACCGCCTGTACATGGAAAGTTCTATGTAAGAAACTTTTTTTTAATTTTCTTCTTGTATATATGTTTTTAAGCTGATCTGCTATATCTGATATTTTTACTATTTATAAAATTTTTTTACAATTAAATGTTTAATACTGGGTGCAACCATGACAGGGTTCTATAGAGAAAGCACTGTAGCAGCTGCTTGTTCAGGCAAGTGATACGAAGTTATATTTTATATTTCAATCTGTTTATTGGGTTGTGTGTGGGTGTATGTGTTTTAACAAGTAAAATCTAAAGGAAAATAAACAGTTGTATCCTCCTAGTTAGGCTGCTAAGCTAAATTTAGTTTTTGTCTTCACTGCAATCAGTGGAGCAGCTATCTATTATATTTGTCTGGTCAGGGATTCATAACTTGGCATTTGATTTCTCCTACCTGCTTCTGGAAGAAGCTTCCATAATATAGAGCAGGGAGAGTCAAAGTCCAGTATGAATAGATATTATGCCTTAGCCAATCCCTGGAAGGAGGCATCCAGCACGTGGCTGGGGGGGTGATAAAAGTCTGGGAGGCCTTTCCAGAGTAATCTTTCCTCTTCTGGGAGGGTCCCAATTCTCCTGGGGCTGCTGCCCCTTGGGAGGACGCTATACTGAGTTAAGGATTGCAGTCTGAGCTTCAGCAGATGCTGAATGGAGAGCCTTGAAAAGTTTGATAAAATATTTTTGTTCTGGAGGGTAATGTCCTAGATTCCTTGTCTGGAGGAGAGTCTTTTATCTCCCTCACATAGTAATTATTTGTGGATTCTGGGTGGCCAGCAGGGCTTTGTACATTGTGAGTAAGAGCTACTGTAGAATTTTGCAGGATGCAGCTATAAGGATTCTCGCTAGAAGTTTGTCCTCCTATTGATAATTTTAGAGTGTCCTGAACACCTAAACCCCTCTTCTGTTAAGTTGTTCAACAATAAATTCTAAAGACATGAGCCTGTGTTGTCGGTGTGCATGGAGCTGTGCTTCTGACTGGCAGCCTCTATACTAGCAAGGGAGACCTGGGCATATTCTAAGCGGCCCCTCTTGGGATGAGCACTACGCAGCATACAATCAACAGAGTATCCAGCTAGGTAAAAGAGATGATCAACAGTGTAGCAATTGTACGTACAGATATGGACGCGGACATCCATTTTGCTAAAGATCCAGCATCTTGTGTCATTCTCACTCCAAACCAGCCCTCTCCCTTTTTGTTGAATGGCATGTGGTCCGTGTGTGTGTGCTGAGTTCAGGAGTGCACAGGGCACAGATGGATACACTTCATGGTTGTAAACCCAATTAGCTGGTGCCAGGGTGTCTGGCAGACTCTTGCTCTAGCCGGATCGTAAAGCTATAAACCTGTCAGTCACTGGACTTGAAAAGCATTCTGAAATAGCAGTAAAACATACATCCAATTTGAAATCACTTTTTCATACAATTTCATAACTCCCGGCAGGAAAAGGAAAAATGTACAATAAAACAAAGTATATATTCAGATAGGTCAGTTTAATGCAAGTCACCTGATACCTTACATCCCTAGATTACGTCTACCCGAGAGCAGAAAGCAATATCTCTTTAATAAAATTATAAATAGTGCAGCGCTCAGGAAACAATACTAACTCAAATAATATAATAAATGTGCTCACATGCAATAGTGTCACAAAATTAATCAAAAGCAAGTTATTAAGTGAGATATCTTTGTAAAGTGTCACTCAGTATTATTCCCTATCACTTAGTGCCCATATAATCAAACAGATATAAAAAATAAAATACCATTTGAAAAATCAATTTTCACAGTGCTCCAAGTGTAATAACATGACCACACTTTATAAACTACTCAAGAAAGTTCAAAAAATTGTAGAAATGTCCATAAAAAACTGATAATACTAAATTCATGCAATGTGAAAACAAAAGTGCCAAACAAATGTGTTCTTAATCCGTAACCATGCCACTCTTCACCTCCTAAGGCTAGATTGCCTCCTCACCTCCTTAAACCGACCCGTAAGGGCCAAACAGCTTTCAGGATCACTCTGGATCCTTATCCCCTGGCGACAAACACTTCTCCTGACATTGTAGATCACTTTAGGGGACATCCATTACCCCCAAACAGAAGCCTCTGGAGAACAATTGCTCACCAACCCAGTGAGCAGAAAAGAAGAATCCTATTATTACGTTAGTCTTTTTTTTTTTGTTTAGCAGGCCATTAAAAACTTCTGGTTGCATTCAGGATGAAAGTTATGTATGTCCCAGATTTTGGCAGTCATTTGGGTAGCAGGTTAAGTGCTGGCAGCTTCCAGTAGGTGTATTTCCCTTTTGCGCAGGAGGATCTCTGTCTGTAATATCTCTTTAACCGTCACAGGCAGATATGTCATATCTGGTGTCTGGACGTTCAGAATATGATTCTGCACATTAATCTACCAGTGGATAGGATGCTACATGTACCTATGGAAGGTTATTGACCGTGGTATACACTTGTGAGGGATTTGGGTCACAGCCTGAGTCTCCGCCTAAACCCCCTCCCCAAATGAGGCGATTGGCCCTTGGCTTCAGTAGACACCCCCTGCTGGGGTACTAGAAAATAGGCTGTCAGGCCTGGAGAAGTAAGATGAAGAGATTCTCCCTTTTAACATCAGGAACCAACTTTGGGAGAAACGGTACCCTTTTGTTCAGGACACTTGAATCTTCTTAAACCAAGGACTCTGGCAAGTATTCTACCTCTCTAAACTTCTTTCTGTTATCTCTCTGGTTGTGGTATTGCTCTCTGTATTTATATATATATATATATATATATATATATATATATATATATATTGGCTACATCTTTTTCTGCAAATATTTTTATTGCACCATTTTGATCTTTTTAGTAATAAATCTTATTTTCTGAAAAGCGTTGAACTGTTTCTAAAGCTCTTTAATGCAAACTAAGAATCCCTGTCTCTGAAGAGCGCTACTGTGTGTTATAAACTTCTGCATACATCTGCCTGCGGTGACAGTGTGTATACAGACGCTTATTCAAACATCATAGTGTTCCTGCTAAGATTTGTGAGTTTCCTCCTTCTCTGTACAAAAAGGTGGTGGTGCCAGTGTGAAGGGTTAATTGCGTAATTAACCTGACCCAGTAACAATTGCTCTCAGGCTGCGGCACAGGGTGCAGCTGAGCGTGGCATTGTTATGCAAGTGGCAGCGCGGTTTTAGATTGGCTAGTCCTTCGGTCACAAGTTGGTGAGAAGGGCTGGGCGTCTGACGCCGCGCCCTGTCACAAACAGCATATATATTATCAATTGAAGTAATAAAGACATTTGTAATGTAACAATCACAAAATAAAAGGCCAAACAACCATGTGTAAGCTGGTGTTAACCCCAGTGAAATTTGTTTCTCACCAAACATGGGATGAAGGTGGGACATCGTAGAAAAGTATGGTATAGTACTCATGTTAACTATATGTAAATGTTAATAAGAAATAATAGGACATATCAGCCTAATAAAGATATAGAAAAAGATGAGGGTAGAAAACAAAAAGAGAAAGGAGAGTATCTAGAGCAGCCAAGGTTGTGCCTCCCAAATCTCACTTGTCCACCAACAGATCTTGTATCAATGGTTGTCATGACTTTGGTTATTGTGGAGGGTGCACAATAGTTTATCATTAATCATGATCCAGTTCAATTTGTGTTTAAAGCAGAACACCAGGCAAAAACTTCTTTACATGTCCTTATTGCTGATTTCCTACCTTCACTGAATGTCATCCATCTTCTTCTTCACTCAGTAGTTGCTCTGAAATAACCTATTAATTTTCATATCAAAGAATTATTTATTTTTGGCTTCCTGTTTGTAAGACCAGTGGCTGGAATGCCTCTTATTCCCCCAGCCACTGGTGTTGGCACATCCCTTCTGTAGTTCTTTCTCCACGAAGCAGTGATGTAATTCAGCCCCACTTGCAGTGGTGGGTGGGCCGAGACTTTCAGACACATTCAGCATGTACAGGCCTAGTGTACCTGCCCACATTCACTACAATTCCCTGTGGTTCATGGGAACTGTAGTTTCCTTTTACTGCAGAGAGAAAGGAGAGGATATGATGTAATCCCAGCTGTTACACCTCCTCCTTGGCAGAACAGATGGGGTTTTCTTTTGAATTACAGAGATGTGGTCATGAAAATTCAATTAGACTTGTCTCCTAAATAGAAAGAATTTTCAAAATTGTATTAACTTTTTAGTGTTTTGTCTAGGGGGTGTACTAAAGGGAGAATATTTTGCCGAAGTTCTTCTTTACCATAATCAATCATTATTGACTGGCTACAACACTGTGCATGTGCTATCCTTGCAGAAGAATTACCCTATATTGCAAAAGGTATTGGGACACCCCTCCAAATCATTGGTTTCAGGTGTTCCAATCACCTCCATGGCCACAGGTGTATAAAATCAAGCACCTAGGCATGCAGAGTGCTTCTAAAAACATTTGTGAAAGAATGGGTCACTCTTAGGAGCTCAGTAAATTCAACCGTGGTAACGTGATAGGTTGCCACCTGTGCAGTAAGTCCATCTGTGAAATTTCCTTGCTACTAAATATTTCACGGGCAATTGTTAGTGGTATTGTAACTAAGTGGAAGCAACTGAGAACAACAGCAACTCAGCCTCGAAGTGGTAAGTCATGTAAAATGACAGAGTGGGGTCATGACATGCTGAAGCGCACAGTGCGCAGAGGTCGCCAACTGTCTGCAGAGTCAATAGCTAAAGAGTTCCAAACCTCATGTGGCCTTCAGATTAGCACAACAACAGTGCGCAGAGAGCTTCATGGAATGGGTTTCTATAGCTGAACTGCTGCATCCAAGCCTTACATCACCAAGTACAATGCAAAGTGTCGGGTGCAGTGGTGTAAAGCATGCCACCACTGGACTCTAGAGCAATGGAGACGTGTTCTCTAGCTTGACGAATCACACTTCTCTGTCTGGCAATCCGATGGACGTTTCTGAGTTTGGCAGTTGCCAGGAGAACAGTTGTTGTCTGACTACACTCCATGTGTAAGTTTGGTGGAGTGGGGATTATGGTGTTGGGTTGTTTTTCACGGGTTGGGCTTGGCCCTTTAGTTCCAGTGAAGTCAACTCTTAAGGCATCAGTGTACCAAGACATTTTAGGGATGGCCCCTTCCTATACCAACATAACTGCTCACCAGTGCAGAAAGCAAGGTCCATAAAGACATGGATAAGCAAGTTTGGGGTGGAGGAACTTGACTGGCCTGCACAGAGGCCTGACCTCAACCCGATAGAACACCTTTGGGATGAATTAGAGCGGAGACTGCGAGCCAGGCCTTCTCATCCAACATTAGTGCCTGGCCTCACAAATGCGCTTCTGGAAGAATGGTCAAACATTCCCATAGACACACTCTTAAACCTTGTGGACAGCCTTCCCAAAAGAGTTGAAGCTGTTATAGCTGCAAAGGGTGGGCCAACTCAATATTGAACCCTATGGACTAAGACTGGAAAGCCATTAAAGTTCATGTGTGTGTAAAGACAGGTGTCCCAATACTTTTGACAATATAGTGTACTGTATATATGAAATCAAGCTGTTCATTCTCATAATCCAGGTTCTTTAAAAAAGCAGTCTCTGGAGCTCTGGTAATGTTCACACCCATTGCTGAGTGAAGTAGATGAAATATTCTACTCTAAAACCTTGTTACCTTAGGGCATTGCAACCAAATATGGACCATGGTGCCCACTTGGCCACAGCTTCTGAAAATATAAGACGGAGTGTGCAAGCTCATCTTTACTATCCTAGTCAGGATCATATAACATCTCAATGGAGTTTTATAGTTAGATTCTACCAGAGCTGTGTTGATAGAAATCTTAGACCCGCCAGAGTGACAGGACATAGCAAATACTCTAACGTAATATTGGGGTCCCTTTCCCAGTGTTCCCTATAAGGACGCTTACAATCTAAATCTAGTAAATGACCATATAATATTGTAATATGGTCTATCTTCAGGCTTCTAGTTTTCCAAGAGATCTCAAATAATGACAAAAATATGTTTTTTGTCCCTAAAATAAGAAATAATCTGATTTTATTTTATCTACTATTCACAGCAAGTCTTTTTTGTCCCACCATTGGAAGAGATGTGGGAATAGTCCTGGGAAAAACTGAGGGTTATTTAGCAGAGGAGACAGTGATGTATGGAGCTCTTTATCATATTCAATAGCTATATGGGATAGACAAAGTAGGATATAAAATGGGAAGATGAAACCTACTAGGAGAAATCCACATCAGAGCTGCTATAGATCATACAGATCAGAATAGTGCTTCCATATCAACACAATGTGGAGTCGGGCCATTGATTATGGAGCCAGCTAATTGGGCACTTTGTGCTGCCTGGTGATAAACTTAAAGGTGTTCTGGGAATTCACAATCATATAAGTTAAGAGTATGTTCAATTCTGTTTAAACTTTAGCTTACACTATTGAGTTCTACAAACACTAATCTATAAAACACTTTTTTTTTTTTCTTCCACTATGTGTCAATATTACTAGGAAAGTAATACAAAGTCTTCACCACACCCTGTTACTTTTTTTTTTAGGCTTTTTCTGCCTTTTACTACACGTTCAATTTCTTGAATCTTACCTATGGGCAGCCCTTGAGCTTCACCAACAGTTCTGTCTGGATGTATTGCACCCGTGAATGGAACGAGGTAGAGTAAAATCTGATTTTATGGCACATTGCTTCAGAGGCAGGGTTGGATTTCTATCACCGGAGTCTATAGGCCTATGACCATAGGACCATAGGAGTGCAAAGAATGCCCCTCTACTAGGATCACCTGTGTTACTGAGAACATTCTAGTTTACTACTCCTAATCTGGCCTAGAATATTGAGACAATGTAAAAATAGATTTATATAACATAGCTGTATTTATATAAATGAGTGGGGTGGGACCCCTTTCATGGAAACCGAACTGTAACATAGGCTAATAGGCCCAATATGGACACAGCTTCTGTAAATTAACCCCTTTCCTAACCATGTGCTTCTTCTGTTGTCTCCAGCTCAGTGCTAGTTACCCTACTGAGAACAAGAAGCGACTGTTGGAGTATTGTACCTCAGCAATGTACATACTGACTCTGTTGGTCCATGGGTACAAATTTAACAGCGAGTCGTGGAATAACATACGTTTCTCAAAACAGGTGTGTACCGTATACATGTACTTACAGATATGTAATACTATGAATCCTATCTACTGTACTGTGTGATAAACTATTATCAGTCACCAGTTGTTTCATCCTATAGTATTTATGGCAGAATAAGGTCCACTTAGGGGATCTATATATAGATAATTCACGCCAATGTTTCTCAACCTTTTTTCCTTCGAGGAACCCCTGGCAAAAAATTTGAGATCTTGGGGAACTTGATCTCTACAGCTTACGAAACATTAGTGTGATCAGAGAGGTGTGATTTAGCAACAATTTTAAGAAATAGCATTAAATAATAGAAAAAAATGTTAAAACTTACCTGTTTTATGTGAAACTTGGACTGATTTTTTTTTCTGCACATATGCTCAATTCTAGGTTTAACTTGAGATAGGCAATGTAAAGGGAGCAGCAGGATAGAGCACACAAAGTCAGGAGGACACAATACAGGGGGGACAGCAGGGCACATTATGAGGCCCACGGTAGAACATATGGCACACAGCAGAACATGGGGCACATCATGGGGTTCACAGCAGAAAGTGGGGCACATCATGGGGTTCACAGCAGAAAGTGGGGCACATCATGTGGTTCACAGCAGAAAGTGGGGCACATCATGGGGCTCACAGCAGAACATGGGGCACATCATGGGGCATACAACAGAACATGGGGCACAGCAAGGGGGCACACATGAGGGCATGGGACACACAGTATAACATGGGGCACACAGCAGGGCATATCTCAAAGCACACAGCAGGGTACGCTGTTGTAGGCAGTTTCCTTCAAATGTAGACTAGCGTGGGAAGTGGCTGTAATAAGTCCTCTCTCATAGTGTGATCCTTCCCACAGGCCCTCCTTTCCTCCCGTCCACCCCAGGTGATGTCACATTCAAGCACCTGGAGGAAGGAGGGCTGAAGGGAAGGATCGCACTATGAAAGAGGACTTATTACAGCCGCTTCCCGCACTACTCTGCATGTATTTGCTTAGATTTGATCTACCCATCAGCTGTCTGTGATTGACGTGTAGATCGATGCGGAACCCCATTGTGCATGTAAATAAAATGTAAGCATAATCATATTTCTATTTGTTTGTGACTTTATTGCCATTGGCTTTGAATTGGTTGTAAAGGCAAAAGGTTTTTACTTTAATTAACATTATTCATTATAGGCAGCACCCCCCCCCCCCCCCCCCCCCCCCCCCCCCAAAGACTGACCTAAGCCTGATCTCAATCCAGTGCTGTGCCCTAGAGCAGAGGCTCTCTCCATACTCTCCCTCCTTTCTGAACTCCTGCTGCTGTCAGTCAAATCCAACGATAAGGGAGTGGGGCCGGGCTGTACTGTGTGCGTCAGTAGATGCACACAGTGTGGTTCAGGTTCGAGCCTGCACCAGTACCTCCATAGCAAGCTGCTTGCTATGGGAGTACTCGGAAGGCAGGAGGAGCCAGGAATGCCAGTGGGGGGATCCCAGAAGAGGAGGATTGGTGCCACTCTGTGCAAAACCAAGTAAGTACAACATGCTGTTTAAAAAAAAAAACAAAACGCTAAAATTACTTTGAGTTTACTTTATCAGGGAAATAGTTCCTTCCTGACCCCTAGTGGCAAAAATAAGCAACTATGTAACAGTGTTGGTCCTGAGATTTACTATTTGAAAAACAAAAACTAATAATTCTTAAAGTCTGGTCCAATTTAAGGCCACTAGACCATTCCCTAGATTAACATCCTGCAATGTCTTCCTTACAAATGTCAAAAATGTAAAAAAAAAGCCCTGAACCTGTTTCTAAATCACACGTATAAAGCAGTCTACCTAGTCAGTTGTGTACAATTCGTGCATAAGCTCTAAAAGCTTTTCCTCCTTTCGCAGAGTACCCTTATGTCTACTGAACATCTTTTCATATGCAAACATCAAAACTTTTTTCCTTCTGTGTCCATTTAATGATCCATATAGTAAAGTCAGTGGAAAGGTGTTAAAGTATTTATATGTACAATGTGATCAAATTCCTTCTTTAATTACTTCTTCTCAACATTCTACTATGTATTTTTAGACAAAGTAACCCTTTATATTTTTTTTTCTAATCAGGCATTTATTTTTAAACCATCTACAATATTTGGTATGCCTTCCCAACAGCCATCAACTAATTCAAGATTGGGGGTCGTATAGATGTGTGCATTGCAGAACCAAGTGTCAAAACACGTGTTGCCACATGCTCCCCAATACATTGCAACACAGCACACCTAAATTTGGGTTGCCAAGAGTTATGTGTGTGTTCTTGTCTGCTGCAGTGTGTTGACAGCCTATTTATCAATTACTGGACTGCAGACTGCAGGAAAAAAATGTATGTAAACACAGTACAACGAACACTTAAGTGTAATTTCAAACTAAGAGAATGACTGTTTTCAGACAATAACAGACCAGGCGACCATTATGTACAGTGGGTATAAAAAGTCTACACACCCCTGTTAAAATGTCAGATTTCTGTAATGTAAAAAAATGAAACAAAGATAAATCATTTCAGAACTTGTTCCACCTTTAATGTGACTTATAAACTGTACAACTCACTTGAACAACAAACTGAAATCTTTTAGGTGGAGGGAAATAAAAAAAAACAAAACTAAAATAATATGGTTGCATAAGTGTGCACACCCTTAAACTAATACTTTGCTGAAGCACCTTTTGATTTTTTTACAGCACTCAGTCTTTTTGAGTATGAGTCTATCAGCATGGCACATCTTGACTGGGCAATATTTGCCCACTCTTCCTTGCCAAAACACTCCAAATCTGTAAGATTGCGAGGGTATCTCCTGTGCACAACCCTCTTTAATCTTCATCACCCTAAGATTTTCGATCAGGTTCAGGTCTGGGCTCTGGCTGGGCCATTCCAAAACTTTAATTTTCTTCTGGTGAAGCCATTCCTTTGTTGATTTGGATGTATACTTTGGGTCGTTGTCATGATGAAAGATGAAGTACCTCTTCATGTTCAGCTTTCTAGCAGAAGCCTGAAGGTTTTGTGCCAATATTGACTGGTATTTGGAATTGTTCATAATTCCCTCTACCTTGATTAAGGCCCCAGTTCCAGCTGAAGGAAAACAGCCCCAAAGCATGATGCTGCCACCACCATGCTTCACTGTGGGTATGGTGTTCTTTTGGTGATGTGCAGTGTTGTTTTTGCACCAAACATATCTTTTGGAATTATGGCCAAAAAGTTCAGTCTTGATTTCATCAGACCATAACACATTTTCCCACATGCTTTTGGGAGACTTCAGATGTGTTTTTCCAAAATTTAGCTGGACTTGGATGTTTTTCTTTGTAAGCAAAGACTTCCGTCTTGCCACTCTACCCCATAGCCCAGATGTATGAAGAATACGGGAGATTGTTGTCACATGTACCACACAGCCAGTACTTGCCAGATATTCCTGCAGCTCCTTTAATGTTGCTGTAGGCTTCTTGGCAGCCTCCCAGACCAGTTTTATTCTCGTCTTCTCATCAATTTTGGAGGGACGTCCAGTTCTTGATAATGTCACTGTTGCGCCATATTTTCTCCACTTGATGACTGTCTTCACTGTGTTCCATGGTAAATCCAATGCCTTGGAAATTCTTTTGTACCCTAACATGATTTTGATTGTGACTGCTTAATTCTGAACACAGCTACATCCCTAGTTATAAAAGGGAGTGCACACTTATGCAACCACATTATTTTAGTTTTTTATCTTTACTTCCCCCCCGTAAAAGATTTCAGTTTGTTTTTCAAATTGAGTTGTACAGTTTATAGGTCACATTAAAGGTGGAAAAAAGTTCTGAAATGATTTATCTTTGTCTCATTTTTTTACATCACAGAAACCTGACATTTTAACAGGGGTGTGTAGACTTTTTATATCCACTGTATATCAGCTGCTTCTGACATTCGGAAGACACCCTGAACTTTTTGGACCAATCACCAATTTTTCCAGCATTGGGGTTGTCTGCATATGACATAATTGTGCACAGTCGACTGGTATGAACACACATTTTATGCCGTAATTCTTCTATTTGTGTATAGGTACTTTTTACAGGAAGTGTATTGTTGTATGTATTTCTCATAAAACACCCCAGGTTATGCAAACATGTCTTAATTTTATGTTGTCCTCAGGCTGGCAACGCTGATGTCGGATGGACTCTGGGTTACATGTTGAACATGACAAATAAGATACCATCAGAAGGTCCCAGTTTTCTGAAGGCTCACTTTTACAACCTCTGGGTGGCCGCCATTTTCTTCATTGTGCTGAGTGTGGCAGCTGGACTAGTGGCTGCCCCGCTGCATTGTTACTTCCGAAATGCTTGCTCAGGCCAAGAGGGATGGAAATGAGTCCAGAGCGCAGCCATGATGATGCACAGGACAACCATCACTAGAAAAGTGAACATTATTAATTTATAGTGGCTACCTTAATTGTCCCACTTGTAACTTATTTTTGTTTGTGTATTTTGACCTGTTCCATTAAGACTTTAAAACTCACTGGAGAAATTTTTGGGGATGGACTGTGATGATAATAATTCTGCTGGACAAGTCTTGGGAAATAAGTATCACTGAGAGGTTTAAGAATTTGGTGATTATGGCAACACCACTAATCATGTCAAACACTTAGCCAATAATATACATACTTAGCCAATAATATACATATGTGGTGCAAAGCAAACTTTCAGCAGGTACTCTGTGCTTATCTATTTGGGAATCTGCTACCTCACCCACGCTTTATAGACACAATTTAAAGCAGACCTCCCACTGAAATGGAAGGACCACTTTTTTTGGCAGCCCTCCACAACTTCCACAAAAGGCTTTAAAAGGTCTCGGTCAACAAACTGCCTCCCCCCCCCCCCAAAAAAAAAAAAAAAAAGCAGAAAAAATATTTCATCCTCAACTTCCAATTCTTCCAGTTAGTATGGGTGATTTCCCCTTGCCTCCTGGCATAGTTGGGTGCTCAAAATCTTGCACTCCAGCCCAACTCTGCCAGGAAACACAGTGACATCACCTACAATTCCCAAAAACATCAAGAGCCATGGCTGAGGCAAGTGTTTTTATATGGAGAACAGTTCTTGATCAATGGCTTTTTATAGCTCTTTGTGTTGATGGGGCAGGGATCTGGCAAAAAAAGCAGATCTCATTTTTTATAGAAGGCCAAACTCATTTTATTTTGTTTTTGATTGACCTAAAAGGAGGCTCCAATCCTTCCTCATTCTGTGTCACACAGAAAGTAAAGGGAATGTGAATAGAGGGAAGAACTTCTGATAATTTTATTGCTATCTGTGCCTCACTGTCCTGCTGGTAACAGCACCATTATTTCTTGTATGGGCATCAAAGGACAAGAAGTGAAGGAATATCTCCCCAGTGGAGTCAACGGGAAGGATGAAGACGGTTCTAGCAACATTAAAGGCCAAGCTCAGCCTTTCACAGCTGTGCTCTGGTTGCATTAGGACCTGAATGATAGTTAAAACCTTAGTAGGTTTAAACTCAGATCTATTCTGTTGAAAATGTGAATTGAGAATTTAACATTAGAATTTTTGGTGTTCTATTTTATGTTTAAGCATGGCTCTTCACCACTTGCTACAATTCAAATGTAGCACACATGCTGTGAAAATTTAGGGAGCCTCTGCACTACTCAAGCTCTAAATAAAATGAGAATGCATTATGATCTGTAAACCTGAATATATTATCAGGAAAACACAGTGCAATGCTTTGGCCAGTTTGAACTGTCAGCAGGGCTGGCTGAAAGTATACTGCAGAATGTACTCTGTTGGTTCTGAGCTAAATAAACTCACTGCTCAATGTGTGTGAACCTGTGTTGTTACTAGGGGTATTGTGGGAATTGGGGGGAATAAAGGCATTATGACAAATCTTTCACATCATAGTGATTTGATTAAGATGAACGTTCTCAACATGGGGGACTGATAATATATAATCAAGTGACCCCTCTGGGGGTGAAGACACAGCAAAAGTGACCAATAAAATAATAAATGTAATCACTCACAAAGATTAATAATAAATGCACATGTGAACATAAAAATGTCCAGAAAGCACTGTATATCAATCACACAAGTTCAGGCAATCAGTGTGGATATCCAAAATGCAGAATGGCTGCAGATCAACAACTAAGTGCTTGTGGTAGGTGATCTTCAAACCAGGTGATGTGAATCCTAAATGGCAGAAATGCTTCCTCACCTCCAAGAAGTGACCACAAGGGCCAGCTCGCTTTATGAATCTCACCACGAAGCCATGTCCAGACCAAGATGTTGCATGGAATCCTCTGTCACTAGTAATCTCAGGTCACACTCCCCACAGAGCCATACCGTCAAAGATATAGCACAGAACATCCTCCATCATGTAAAACCATTTATTAATCATCAAATGCATGGATCTTTAGATCAGGTATACCCTGAGGAAGTCACGTGGTCGTGACGCAACGCGTCGGTACGTCAGTTCCGGTGACGCACTTCCGGTTGGACGCCATTTTTGGGCTCTATCTAAAGATCCATGCAGTACACCCATACTAAGTGGTAGCAATGCGTTTTTATCCTTTTCTACATGTGAGTGGGCAATTTTAATTTACTATTTGATGATTAATAAATGGTTTTACACAATGGAGGATGTTCTGTGCTTATATCTTTGACGGTATGGCTCTGTGGGGAGTGTGACCTGAGATTACTAGTGACAGAGGATCCCATGCAACATCTTGGTCTGGACGTGGCTTCGTGGTGAGATTCATAAGGCGAGCTGGCCCTTGTGGTCACTTCTTGGAGGTGAGGGGGCATTTCTGCCATTTAGGATTCACATCACCCAGTCTGAAGATCACCTACCATGAGCTCTTAGTTGTTAATCTGCAGCCATTCTGCATTTTGGATATCCACACTGATTGCCAGCACTTGTGTGATTGATATACAGTGCTTTCTGGACATTTTTATGTTCACATGTGCATTTATTATTAATCTTTGTGAGTGATTACATTTATTATTTTATTGGTCACTTTTGCTGTGTCTTCACCCCCAGAGGGGTCACTTGATTATATATTATCAGTCCCCCATGTGGACTAGGGGTGGTTGGTTTGTTGGCTTTTTTCCCATTTTGGAAAAGGGTTCACTTGTATGAGTACAGGTTTACCTGTTCACTATCAGCAGCACTTTATTTTGATCCGATTGGATCAGCACATTGAATTGTCACCTTATTCATATTTTATGCATTTTATGTTTTTGCTGTGTATATGCTCATTTTACATCTATCCTTATCTGTGATATATTGCTAGCGCTTCACCATTTCTTTGAATTATTGCATTGTACCTATTGAAGTCAGCAGCTTCTTGTTAGTGTTTTTTTTCCCATTTAAGCGCAGGAGGTTATTACCCCTTTTTTTT